TGTAACCGTTTTATCATTTTTTATGCATTTTTCTATAAATATACGTTTCCGCTTATCATAAACGTCTCTTTCATGTGATTGGTCTGTTCAAGGTCGTTTGCTGATTAGTTGTCATTGGTGTCGAAAGTTTAACTTTGCACTGTTGAGAAAATGATACGGATATACTACTCACTTTTAGGTTAGTAGGCCAAGTTAAACTTTAGACACCAGTAACTACCGATCAGCGAACGACATCGAATTATCCCATGAGATTCACGAACGTAGTTCAATATTGTATAGCGCTTGATTCATTTCAGTGCGTGCCCTTACAAAGTTACGTTTGCAATTCGAGGAGGATAGTGTCCTTCAGTATTGCCTGGACTTAGGCTTGCTTCGAAAGGAGAGAAGTTGTTCGTGTGGTGGCGTAATGACTCTAAAAAGCTATACTAGGTCAACTGACGGTTTTGAACATCGTTGTGGAATATGTTGGGAGCGAGTTAGTATTAGAGGGTAATATTTCGTAGGAAATTCTTTTGCTACGTCGCATCTCTCCCCAACCCAGATTTTGTACATTTGCAGTTACGGGGTACTGAAACAACACTTGAGAGCCTCTGCTGCCGAGACGGAGAACAGCGTCGTATCAACAGTTCAATGTTATTCCACTGGTGTATATACCAGCACTGCAGGGACATCGCCTCATGGAAAATGGACAGAATTACTTCGTTGCCAGGCAGGGACGACGTAGTAGTTTATGTGGATGCGACAGTGTTGGTGAAGAAGAAATATAACAGCTCCATTATGGGTAAATTTTTATTTTGATAGAGTCTCACAGTGTTACACAGTAATATTTACTGATGACGTTTCGAGCACAATTTATTGCTCATAATCATATCAAGGTAATCACACGACTTCCTAAATTCATTAATATAGTTCCATTGTTTTTCACTTGATTTGATTGGTAGTAGTATTTTCCATATTTCAGGTATGAGTGATGATTCATTCCTATTGCATGTGTTGGGTGTAGATTCGATGAACAAAGATTCAGTAATCAACCTCTCTCTCCACCTACCTAGATTACTTTTCAGAATTTTAACCCTCTCCCACCCTATTGTGTGGTTGTGTGTTAATGCATGCATTGCAATTGCCGAGCTTTTTTCTAAATTACTTATCTTCTCTCGGTCAACCATTCTTACCTTAGCTAAATTCTTATGTTCTGACAATCTGACTACCCGTGACCTACTAGTTTGACCTATGTAGTTGACCTCACAGTCATTGCAGGGTATTTCGTAAATTATATTGTTTTGTCTAATTGGGTCCACTGGGTCCTTTAACCTACAGAGCTTGTCCCTGAGTGAGTTTGTAGGTTTAAATGCCACCCTAATTCCTGCTTTATTTAGAATCCTACGTAGAGCCTCAGATGTCCCCTCTTTAAATGGTATAATTGTAGATGACTTATATTCTCTCTTATTTATCTTATTATTATTAGTTGCACAATTCTTTTTATTTTTCTTTAGGCGTTTTTCAATCTTCCTAATGAATTTTAGAGGATAGTTATTTAAAACCAACGCCTTTTCTATCTGTTTAATTTCATCATTAAGGTAGTGGATAGGACCTAACACCACCCCTAAAAGGATATGTTTGCTTCACGTAGACGATGTGAGCAGTATTAGATTCGTCCTACATCTAGGAAGCAGTGACCATGTAGTCACAATTCTCCGTTTGAAACTGCAGAATTTATTATTAGGTCAGTGACAATCCATGCAAATTTGTGCCAATCAGATATGCCGCCATCAGGACTGCAGCATCCTCAGGCGTCTGAAGCGATGCCAAAATCCTTCACAAGTACTACTTTGACTTCTATTCATCTATTGATAATACTCACGAGGCCGATCAAGGTATCACCAACGCCATATAAGTTCTTCAAATCATGGTGGGCAATGTAGTAATGTAATGGCCACTATCTTAACTGCTTGCGCGTAATTCATTCAGAGTCCAGTGGTTACATTCGGGTAGCGGCCAAACAGATGTAATCCACACTCTCAAGTCTGCCACTCTTGATAACTATGCATATATATCTAATCATAACGTTAGGAATTTTAAGAGGGTTCAGAAGCCAAGGGTGATCGATATTGTTAAGGAGTACCAGCTTTCTTCTCTTCTTATTAACTAACTTCTAGAGGAAGTGGTGCCTTCATCTTCAATGGAGTCACTCAATGGAGGAGTAGGCAAGCAGACACACGCAATTTATAGCAGGCCTCAAGTAGAACAATGTGTACGAGTAGCTAGTCCATGCTTCAAGAAATTGTGTCCGAGTCTTAGGAGTGATACAAAGGGTAGGAACTACAATATACAATGGTATCTCCCATCTTCTCTAAGGGAGGAGGCTGAGACATGTAAACCTGTTCTCACTATCATAATGGAGGAGAAAAGGTGACCAAATCGTGGCATATCTCATATTAAAGCGTGATTTGTGCATCGACCATACTAAATTTTTCCTTCATTCCAGGAGGTCATCACAAAAAGGTGCCCAAACACTAGGCAGATGAAATACGTGTTGAATTTCAGTTGTCACATTGTGTGGTCAAGTTTTATTGGATCCATCGATGAATGCTAGAGAAATTTAGAGACTTAAAGAAACTAGGTCTCTACTGAGATACAGTTTCCAAGAGTCAAAACAGGTGAATCTAAACTATAACAGCCCAAAACGAAACTACCTGTAGCGACTGATCAGATTCGTAAGAAGTAGAAGTGCGCAACTTGCAATAAATGTGTATATACAGGTAATGCAATGTTTGAAAGTGGCTACGTAGGATAATATTCTTGTATATGTTCCAGAAAACCTCCTAGACCACAAAAGCCATGTTAATCTGAATCAAGGTTACAAACATTCCATGGGCTGGACTTATCCAGCATGTTGGTTGAAATTTCGCTCGGCAAATTTTTTTTGTCAGTAATTTTTAATAAAATTTTGTTATATGTTTTCTGGATTGATAGGAATTCTCATTTCCTGGCTAGTTATGTTGGTGTCCGCGTCATGTAATCTGACTGCGACACACTTAGCACATTGGTTGTAATGATTAGTGTTTCATGCTGAATGCGTCAAAACATCTCTACAATGAAGAAGATGGGGTAGTTGGGGGGTAATGTCATCTACACAAATAGTTTATTTCGTGTAGAAGCTGCAGCTTTCGACATAGTGTCATTCAATGAAGACTACGTCAAAATGTGGCTATTTTCGTGTGAAGAACAGTATATTTTACAAAAGAATACTATCAGTACATGGGAATCACCTATAAATGCCAACAGAACGTAAAACCAATGCGTAAACGAACGGCTACGGAACTGCAATCCAACATAACCGAGTAACATGGACGAAAATGACCTTTGAGCGTCTCACTCCATCAATGACCTTGAGCATGCGGGATAATTTCAGCCCATTCCATGTCCAATCAACAATTGAATGTTGGACTGAATGTCCAGTAATTCAGAGCGTCAATTAAACACTGCTCTGTTTCTGCACGTGCGTTCTAAGTTGCAATGGTTTCTGCTAGAGATGCTTATCGTTTGCAAACATTGGCTAGGCGGGTAAGATTTGTAATCGTTTTCTATACAATCAACTATACATAGTCTAGATTTTAATTGTGATTTTTTCTGTTTAATGTATTGACCTGAAAAGCAGATAATATGTTCATAGTAATATTATTCCTTTGGGTTCCGGGCAACAGTAAAGACTAGACACCAAATTCGAATGGCCTTGAATCAACCAATAAGACGCCTCGACAATACATATGGATTGGATGGAGGATTTCATCATGAGCTGACAGCATTTGGAGAACCACTGGGAAACCTGGGAGTGCTGGACAGCTGTTTCGTCCTAGTTTGTGACTCTGAGGATATATATATATATCACCTGAGGTAATGGTGTAGTCAGTGGTGAAAGTCTGGAGACGTGATCTGTGGTTACTTCAGATTTTTCATGATCCTCCTTGATTTTAACTGTGTAATGATATTGGGATATCAGTTTGACGTCTTATTCTTGAGGCTTATGTACGTTTTAAGTTAAGTGCATGTTGAATTTCAGCTGTGATTGACAAATTCATTAAAACACTTTGTTTTTAGCTGTGCAGTTTGCAGTTCTGTCTTTTGAATTCCCAAGAGTGATAAACAGGCTTCACACTAAACTTGAATGTACACACATGTTTCATTATGTTGTAGCGAAGTTGTGTCTACGCCCTCTACTACTCATTCAAGAAGAGAATAATTAACAGATAGAGCACTAACAAAGCCTTTAATTCTCAATCTAAGATCTGAAATTCTCTACTGATTACCCTCGTGTCTGCTCTGTTCATTTTTCCCGTAATCAGCGTAACACACTTCATACTTTTCAAGGTGGCTTTAAACAATTTAAGTAGCTTTTCATTGGTGCTACAGTTATCCTGATATATTCTCAAAACATACCGTGACCAAGTGTCTTCCTTGCAATTATTTCCATTTGAAAAACTGAAATTGGAGTTGCGTATGCACTGGTTAAGGTGCCCTCAACTTTCACAAGTAGTGGGTTATGAGCTTGAGCTTTGCTTCACTTTCCAAGGTTTGGTCAGCCAGATGTTAGTATCACAGTGAATGTGACGTCCACATATCTCTACCATAACCTACCTAGGAGCAGAATGAAATGTTCTAAAAGCTGTATGTTCCCTACTGTCGATTAATATGTCTGCCGCTACTGAGGATATTGGTGATCCCACTGCCACCTGTTCTGTTTGTTTGCTTTTATATCTCATTTTCAATTTTGAACACTGCAGCAGGGGTTGGTTAGACACTCAGTATTTTGTTTTATCAGTCGACAGTTTAGTCCTACTTTTGAGTTCATGATCAATGTCGGGTCCACATTCTTAACTACCCCTAGAGCTGTATTCATTGGGAAATTAGTATGTACAAACTGGTTATATTAAAACTAATCTTAATTTGTTTTTCATCCTTTTCTATCTGAATTTCCTGTAGCTTCTGTTTCATTGCATAGGAATTAGTCAGCCTAGAATTTGACCTATTTCTAAATAAGCCATGATATTTGTGCTATCTTCGATAATTCACATGTCGGAGTGTTCTAGTCTATCATCCTTTTCTCACGCTATCTTCGTTGATTCGCTGACTTTGACATCTATTGGTTTTACCATTTTTCTTCTTTTTTACAGGGAAAGGTTGAAATCACAGAAGAAGGCATTAAATTACTTGAAAAGTTGACGAAATCATTGAATTCTGCTAACACAACAAATGGTGGATGCCCCATAGCTGAAAGTCCAGTGAAAGAAAACATTTCAACGCCACATAATGGTAAAAGCAATACATCTAAGAAAAGGAAACGTGTAGCTGCTCCTTCTCCTGAGAGAGTTAAACAACCTAATTGTGCGTTGAAAGATATTGTGCACTTTTATCCGGCTTTATCATCGAGCAGTCGAACTTCATCAAAGGGAACGACGCACAATTCTGTAGGATATGAACATTCTCAATCTGGTATTACCGTTGGTACTTCTTCATCAATGCATATTCCTCCCTTTCATACTGAACAGCCGATAACATCTGTAAAACAACCCACCAGTCTCAAGTTTCTCGATGCTTTTGAATGTGGGGAGGAATGGCTTCCTGGCTTGTTGAAACCAACGAACCTGGAGAACTTTATCAGGTAAATTTGTTATTTTGGTTATATATTTCTAATATATATATATTTCTAATGTATATATATATACATATATATATATGCCCACTGAGATTACTGTACAGTAAGTCCAGACCGATCGCTCCCACCTTGACGTAGTGGGGGGCTTTTGTATCGGAGTGACCCAACAAGCTACACTCGCTGGAAATATTGTTCCTGGAGGTCCTACCATACCAGGAAGGTTGTTAGGATAGCTATTGGACTAAAAGCATTTACCGGCCTACTGTAAGATTTTGTAAACTATGCTTGGGGTCTGTGGGCGAAGTCGTACTGCAGGAGAACAGGAATATAACAGCAGTAGGGTGTTCCCCTCAGATGATCAGCATCTCAGCTATGCTGTCTCTCCTCTCTGGAGAGAGGGGGTTAGAAAAGGTTGACGTCAAAAGTTGTACATCCCAACTTACCCCACGTATGATGTTCCGTAACTGGTGGCGAGTTTACCAGCACGGAACCAATCCCAGAAACCAGTTCATACAGGCCGTGCTTGACCGGCCTCAAGCAGTTGTCTCTTGGGCTCTGCTGTCACGCAATACTAACCCTCTCTCTGTTTCAGGTACCCGAAGAATCAATCAACTTCCACGGTGGTGTGGACAGCTGGGAAGTAACAACTGCCCACACACTTTCAAAAGCACACGAAGCCTTCTCGAGCATCATTCTCCTTCACCCACATCACCATTATCTGAATTCCCTACTACAGTCAGTACTATTCTTCAGCCTAGTAAGTCATCTTCACTTCACTCTGTGACCACAAACAAAGATGAGAGCCATAGAAACACCCCGACAGCCTCTTAAAGTCACGTTGCCGACTTCATATAGGAGCATTCAACGTCAGTACCCTCCGACAAATCGGACAGCAGGCATCACTAGCAAAAACTCTGGCATCTCGAGGTATGGATGTATGTTGTGTTTCGGAGACATGCATACAAGACCCAAGTGTGGTCACTCACTTAACGCCACCTGCCCAAAAAGTTGAATCTGCAAAATTCACTTTAAGGGTGTCAGAAGGCCCTCAGATAGTTTGTGAGCACTCGCAGGTGTGAAGATAGCATTGAGTGTTAGGGCAGAAGAATCACTTTTGACTGGATTCCAGTAGATAGTCGTATGTGTGCGATCCGTTAGAAGGAGGTACGGCATTATCCGTCGCTGTCTTTTCATAATGCCCTCTTACGCCCCAATAGACTGCAGTTCGGATTAAATAAAGGATGACTTCTACCTGAAACTGTCTAATCTGCTGTAAAAAGCAAAACGCTCAGATATAGTTGTTTTATCAGGCGACTTCAATGTCCAAGTAGGGAAGTTGTGCTAGACTGAGAAGTAATTAGGTGGCACGTATGGAGTTCCCTGCCGACGAACCGACAACGGTGGTCGTCTTCTACAGTTTTGCTCAGATAATCATCTGTTCCTAGTCAGCACTAACTTTAGGCACCGAGAGAGACACTGCGTAACCTGGCGACCTCCATCATTAAATCAACGCTGGACTCAGATAGACCACATAGCGATAAGGTATCGTTGGCGAGGGTCAGTAAAAGACTGCCACTCCTTCTGGAACACATGCGTAGACTATGATCACGCACTGGTTCGCTCACGTTTATACTTACCACTAAACGGACATGAAAAATTGTTTTTCAGCGAAGCAGTTACTTCCCCAACTATATCGAAACTGTGAGTCCCTATTTAAGGAAGAAATAGTGAAACGAGTATCTGAGTTCGACAGCAGAACTCCTCCTGAGGTAGCCTGGCACAACATACAGTTAGTTGTAGAGACAACACCCAATAAAACTATATTTCTTCTTCGATATTACTATAATTTTTGCTTCATATCTCTGTTTATTGTCTCTATTTTGCACTTCTTTTTACTCTATTTTCTTGCTTTGTGTTTTGCATGGAGTGTGGTGACTCGAATTGCTGCACATCGGTGTTGAAACCAGTCAGTCAGTGCACAGTCAGTTATTCAAGTGGGTTTAAAAAGTGAATAATTGTTATTATTTAAGTGGTTGGAAACAGTGAGTCTCCAGGAAGATCTGCTTACCTGACCAGCTGGAGTACACAGTGCTAGCAATAGTTGGAGACATGTTTACCACTGAACGAAGGACCTAGATGCATGAGATTAGCTACTATTATCATCATTATTCTCTTGAATTCCAACTGCAATGCAGGCTTCAACTGGGGCACATCTTCGTTTCATCCTGTTGTCTGCAGTCCTTTTCAGCTGATTGAATCCACGATTGTCCATGAGCTTTCATCTACCTCATGTCACTCTCGGAAAAAAGTCCAATTCATCTTTTCCCTTCCGGGTTTCATTCGAGCGATGGTCTGTTTGTCCCTCGGTGTCTCCGATCCATCTCCAGTTTCTTCAGCATATTTAATGAGCAGCTAACTGCTGATGGAAGTCTGAAGTAAGCTGTTAGAAATGCTTTTCATGGCTCACCACGCCAGGTTTCTGACCCATATTTAATATAAAGCGGCTGACTTACCAGTGGTGTTAGACAGAATCCGAATTTCGTTCTTTACACTGTGGAGTGTAGCTGATTTCAGAGTTATGAATGCTGCCTTGCCTTTACGATTCTTGTTTTGATATCCTCATCCATACCTTCTACTATAGTTGACACGATGCTGCCTAGATAAGTGAAAAAGAGGCCTCTTTCAAATTTCTTCCGTTGACAGTGATTGACACTTGTTATTATTGTTGTTGGTTATCGGGTATTTTCATCACTTCCACTTTCTCTGTGCTCACTCAAAGTGTTGTCTCATGAATCTGAATAGCTCAGTGGTAATGTCTCTGACTGCAGCACTCCACTAAGCAACCTGGCTTGAAGTCTCCCAGGGGGGACGTCGTTAGTTCTTTCAAGATTCCAGATGCGCCTTTGTGACTGGCGTGAGTGCCAACAAGTAGGAAAGCTAGGTCCACACAGGGATTCCTGCCTATTACCTTCAACCATGTAAAAACAACTATTCAAAGTGCGGCATAGTAGCTAGCCGCCTAGTTTGATGGATGCCGAAGGCTGGATTCATGACGCTAAATACCATCTTGTGTCTAGTCGTAATATGTTGTGGATGATCTTACGTAATTGAAAGAGCTGACAACTAATTTGTTCATAGTGATGAATAATCATTTGGAAATACCTATTGATAAAGAACAAGGAGGAACAAATAGACTAAGAATGGCCTCCATGGAGTTTATTATAGAACAAAGTCGTACTGCTGGTGAAAAGTGGGATGGGTATGTAATCAACAGCAATAGGTGAGATGTTTCCTCCACTCATATGACGAGGATGCTGTATCTCCATTGTGACGATGGGGGTCACTGTATGAGATTGGAAGAGAGATAGCGATGGCCAAACCAAAACGTGGCATCAGTCCATAAAATCTTTAAAAGTTAGTTTGAGCTAACCACTTGAAGAGGTGTAGATTGTGTGGTTGGCTGGTTGGGGTCCTCGGGATGGGAATCATTGAAGGCTGGATGCAATAAATGAAATGGCTCATAACCGTTCTCAGTGGAGAAGATTAATTCATTCTTTTTGTAATCTGTTATATCCATTGGAATCTTATTGGTTTTCCATGTTACGATTCTTGCCCCTTCATATTTCTGCTCATAATTGTTCTTTCGAATCTCTTTGTTTTCTACTTTTTGTCTTCCTTATATGCTCCATATGGAGGGAGTGCAACAAGTGGAATTGCTGCTGCACTTCTGTGGAAAGTAATTTGTTGAAACTAGTTAGTCAGGAGACGAGGCAGGGGGTTAGTTGAGGTTAATCCCGTAAAATTGTACATTCTGATTTATCTTGTGGTGACAGTCCTTAGCCAGTGGTTAGATCTTATGTAGTACGAGCACAAACTCTAAAACCACTTCAAACACAGGTTGTGTGTGTATTAATGTCCGGCCTGAAGCACTGCTGTCCGTTGGGCTGTGCAGTCACGCAAATCTACTAATGCTTCACACTGTTTCATGTACCCCAGGAAAAGTCACTCAGTCATTATTTCATGTGTTTTCGATTTTTTCAGAGAGAATTATGGAAAATCTCCATTGCATGTAAAACGAGGCGATCGATCCAAATATAAGAGTGATATTTGGTTAACGTCATCTGAATTGTTTGAAATAATGCTTGAGGTAAGTAGATGGATGTGTGTGTACGCATTTTAGGCTTTCAAACATGTTGAGGCTTTTGTTTTTGCGTATCCAGTCATCTGAAGTGTGATGACAGCCAATGGTTGTCCGACAAGGATACTCAGTGTCCCCATTTTCTTTTGGTTTCATGGATCTACTGGCATTTTCTGTTCTTCGGTAACGTGAAATTAAAGCTCAGAGTTAGTGCCAGTGGATTTTTATTGCTCATAACCCGAATTGTGGTGGATAGACGCAATGAAGACTAATTCTGGTGGGCTGCAAACATGATGAGGGGCGAAAGCTGCTCAGTGTGTGTCTGCAACGACAAAACCAAAGGAGATGAAAAGTGATATCGGTGATATGTAATGCCAGACGACTATGTTTACTTTATTTGGGAAACAGGTTTGCAAAAGGACAAGTAATAAGCGAGACAATCTCCTAAAAGAACAACGCTTTGATTACCCCTCTCAGAATAGAAGACTGAAACACTTTGAAGGGAACACTGAGGAGCAACTTAACTGACCTGTAGTCACTCACAATTTACCCAGTGTGACGTCAAACCCGATCAATTTTGGAACAAATCAAATCCCCCACTGAGTCTCGAAGGCGGTCAGCATCTGTTGTTTCAAACGCTAAGGCGTTATGCCCTAGACCACTGTGAGCCATGATGTCCACCTTTTGTGTTTGGTATCTCTGTTGATATGTTGGCCGTTATCGCAGATTTTGCGATGATGTCTCATTGGAGGGGCTAGGATGGTGATACATGAAGACCCAACTGACGAGTCTTCTAGATTGTACAAAATACACAAGCTTTATCTTCATGAATTGTTTATCAATGTCAATCGATCAAGGTATGTCTAAACTCCACTGTATTTCAATCTCAAAGTAAGGTACACAAACAAATGAATGCGGTGGCAATGGGATCACCAATATCCCCAATAGTTGCAGCAAACATGTGTATGGATAATTGAGAACATAAAGCTCTTAGAACGTGCTCTTGAGTAGGTTATAGTGGAGATATGTGGATATGACAAATTCACTGTGTTAAAACCTGAACATATCAACCCTCAGTTCTTCACACTCATATAAACTCAATAGTAGACAGAATCCAATTGACATTTAAATCAGAAAATTGACAAGGTGAGTTAATTATGCCAATATGCTGTAAAATAAAACGGATACTAGCATTTATAGATGAAACCTGCACACTGATGAATACTTAGACTCAAATTAGTCCTGTCCAGAGTCGGTAAATGAAGCTAGGTTTAGTTAAATCTTGTTTGTACAATCGGACTAGGTGCCTAACTAGTAAATGAATGAAATCAAACAAATTAAGAAAATGTTACTAGTGACTGACTAAACTACCCACTAGAGTTTATTCAGAAATGCATAAGAAACCATTGAGAAAACAAGATTAGTAGTGAAAATGATCAAAAATAATATAGACTTGAAAGCCTCTGTTTTAGTACTGTCGTATAAACAAGAAACGTCTCAGTGAGGCTGGAACTAGTTAGTTGGGGTGGCATTAAAACCAAGCAACCAGCTGTCTCAGAGATAGAATTTGTCGGCTGAAGGACCCAATAGATCTAATTAAGAAAAAAAATCTAGCAAAATTTACCCAATAGCATATGATAACTGTGGGACAAATTACATTAGACTAAACCTAAGTTCTGCGACACTCAGTGAGTGAGAGAGTCAATTAGGCAGAAATCAATGTATTTACCATCATCATTATTATTTTTTATTTTTTTCCTTTCTTGTCAAAGGAGCCACTCCTCTACGGCGAACATGTGGATCTGCTTGACAGTGGAACACAATCATCACAAGAAACCATGTACCCACGAGGAGAAAGAGCTGTCTCCGAAGTTGTATTCAATCATTATGCTGTAGGTTGTCTAAAGTAGTAGTATTAGTAATAATAATAACCGTAAATTCGTTTGCTATTGATTATCACTTTATCTCTGTGTTGTATGTAATTACTTCCACTGAGATCATAAGAACCACCTCTTGTGCTTCAGTGGAGGGTACTAATTGTTGTTGTCTGAGTATACAGGTATGTTTATTCAGCTGACTGATGTGTCCCCAACGGAACGAAATGCACACACACATGCTGTGGATTATACACTAGTTCGAAACCCGCTACACGCAGCCTTGTAGAGGTTCATCAGCTTTCTCACGGAATCAAAAGGTGTGACTTATTACTGGTATCTGCCTGCAGTGCGTGAAATTGCAAGTAGTAGTTGTCGTTGACTGATACACCATTGTAGCTTCAGCGTACTTCTTCTAGAGGTGAGCTGACGTGTGAGACCAAAGTGACAATGAGCATTATTACAGTCAGTGGTAGTCAATTCAGTACATTATGGACACTTAGAGATGTGCTACAAACATTACTTCCTCATATTTTGTGGGATATTTACTACTTAGACGCCAAAACTGAAGCAGCTGGTGGTTTTGGAGTTATTTTAAGGGTCCGTATTTTCGGCCCAAACCTTTGATCTGAAGTCTGTCAAACAGGAGCTTTCCGGTAATCATTTGATCTGTTCAAATCCTACACCCCATTCACAGGTACCAAGGGTTTGGAATAATCGGGGCTTCCCAACAGCCCTCGATAGAAGACTATCATTTCCTTCACCAGTAGTGGTTGAGTTATAAGCGCCAGACGTTCTCATTCGCCGTTTCACTCATTTTTGTCAAGAACACCTGCCACGGTGCATGAAAGCAGTGAAGAGAACTTGGTTGATGGCATTTACAAACGCGTGGCTGCATTTCCAGAGGGCGAGGTAGACCGCAGCCTACCCATCCTTTCTGAACCGTATTAGGTCGTTATAGTAGGGTTGTCTCATAGGGTTACCAATGTAGGTGTAAGTCTTGTCGTGTCAGTAAGGTATGAGTTCCTTCGTCTTTGCTGATATATGTACAGGTGGCTGGCTTACTGACTGACAGTCGCCAATCATCATGAAGCCTACAATACAAAAGACATACTTCACGATTTCAAAACTATCTGATGTTCGTCTATTGATTGTGAATACAGGAGCAGGATGAAACAAAGGATCTCCGTTTTACTTTTCGTCGATTGGTTCGTGATTTCCTTATCAACCGAATAGGCTACGACAGACTTTCATCAACAACTGTTTCCCTTGACTCGATGGTGACGATCGGATGGCTGAGTGAGATACCAGAAAAGACTAACCACAAAGGGAACTGTAGCAGGCAAAGAATTAAACAAGAACCTATCACCAGACTTACATGCCGAATTCAAATGGTAATGGTTTGGACATATGCTGAGGAGAGTGTTGAGACGTCAAGTGGGAGCCGAATGGGGAACGACGATTAGAGCGGCCTATCGAAATGGGACATGGGAGAGATCGTTTAACGGCGGAGGAGACGAAATTTTCTGGGTAGTCTTGAAGCTAGCCTGGCATCCAGTTAGAACGCAAAAGGGAGGAGAACAGAGTGAAGTGAGTGAGTATATGTTGCTAATGGCATCGTCAAAGAACTCATGGAAGAAACCGAAATGTCAGGAGGAGATCGATTATCTTAGTCCGGTATATATGTTAATCCAGGGCTAATAAATGTGATGCATGAGTCCCCGCTTTTAAATCGATTTGAGTTGAGTTAGAACAAATGTCGGTTCATAGTGTGACGTAGATCCATGTTATCTCGTTGGTTCTCCTCAGCCGCATACAACCTATGCTATATTAAATAAGGCAAGTTATAATACAACTTTAACATGCATTTTGTCTATTACATGATGAATATAACCTTCAGGGTTATCATAAGAAATTCATAGTGAAACGAAACACAAGGATGATAAGACTATCTCAAATTATTAGCATATATAAACACAAGAGAAAGATTTCACGCGAAATACTGGACAGATTTATTGTTAGGGTGGTGCTATTATTATGATTGTTCCCTTGGGTTCCGAGTGTAACATAAGGATTCAGCCGGGGCACATCTTCACTTTGTGCTAGTCTTCACAGTCCTGCCTAGCTGACCCTACGATTGCCCATAAACTCACCTCCTCCTGCTCCTCCTCAACACATGATTTGAACCATGTTACCCTCAAAGCGACGCGTTACTTGTCGTTTCCAATTCGGATTCCACTCGAGAAATGGCCTGGCATGCAATGTCACCGGACGGTCTACTCAGCGCGTGTTCCACCCATATCTATTTTCCTCGGGATATTCGTTAGGCAACGATTCGTTGCCACAGTTTCTTCTTTCTAATTCTTCCTGACTATTTGATTTTCATAATGAAGTGAAACCAGCTGTTGATCAAAGTCTGCAGTAGCCAGTTGAAGTGCTTTCCATGGCTCACCTTGCCAAGTTCCTGACTAATATGGGAGATCTGACTGACTTAACTATGGTGTTGGGAATCCGAATTTTGTTCTCTATGCTGAGATCAGAAGATTTCCAAACTGAGTTTAGAGTGATGAAGGTCTACCTTGCCTTCCTGATTGTGGTTTTGACACCCTCATCCGTACCGTCTGCTGTAGTTGACACGATGTAACCTTGATAAGTGAGTTTTTGTCTTTGATAGTGATTGGTACTTGTTGTAGTTGGTTAGTAATTTTCACCACCTGTGTCTTCTCTTTGTTCACCGGAATTGGTGTCTTCGCTACCTACTTCTTCTGCCAGTTTGTTGGCTTCCGCTTGTATGTCTTCGAGTTTGTGTGAAATTAGCCATGGATCATCCACGAAATCCAGATCTCGTAGAGTCTTCTTATCAGTCTAACGTGTTCCTGTCCCCTCGCTTCCCACGTTTGGTGTTCCTAATAACCCAGTCCACCACAATTAGGAATATCATCGGTGATAGTAGACAGCCTTGTCTAACTCTTGTATGCACTTCAGAGGTATGGTTGGGTTTTCCGTTGTGGAAAAACCTGACACATGACATTGTCATATAGCCAGCCAGCTGTGGAATGAGGTTGATAAAGATTTGTTGCATGCCATAGTGGTGATCAGGTAGTGATAATTACGCAGTCAGATTTATTAAAATACTGTTATAGTATAACTCATAAGATTAGGAAATCGAATTATCGGTGTATACGAAGTTGAATGAAATGATGGCGATGATGTAATATGGTGAGTAGAATATGAAGGATTAGAAAACTTGAGTCTAATATAAAAGTTGAGAGAAAAATGATAGGTTGGAGGCGGGGGTGGGGCAAGAGAAACATATTGGTGCAATGAGTTACTATTATTATTAATCCCTTACGTTCCTAGTGGAACATGAGGCTTTAATGACACATCTCCACTTTCTTCTATTTCCTGCCGTCCTCTTCAGGTGGGTCTACGGTTGCCCATAATCTGTCATCTCTTCCTCCTTTACACTCCATGTCACCCTCGCACTGACGATCAACTCATCGCTTCCGATTTGCATTCCACTCAAGCGATGGCCTTCATTGCGCGCAATGTCATTTGATGGTTCCATCAACGTATGCCCGATCCATCTCCATTTTCCCTACATATTACTTGAGCAACGTGCTCTTGGCTGGTTTGTCGCCATAGTTTCTTGTTACTAATTCATTCTGGTCGGCCATTTGTTCTTCAGTATGGAGCCAGTGAAGGCAGCTGTTGATGGGAATCTGCAACTGACTGTTGGAAACGCTTTTCGTGACGCGCTGACCGAGTTTCTAGCCCATGTAGAAGAAGTGACTGACTTCACATTTGTGTCGAAAACCCGGATCTTGTTCTGTATGCTGAATGGGTGCAGAAGATTTGCAAACTGGTTTCAGGTTGTATCTTGCCTTTCCAATTCTGCCTTTGAGATGTGAATCCGTTCCACCCGCCTTTACTTGATACGATGCTTCCTAGACAAGTGAAGGAGGTAACCTCTGTTAAATCTCTCCCGTTAATGGTGATTGGTGCTGGTTGCAATTGGCTGGTTATTTTCATCACCTCCGTCTTCTCTATGTTCACCTGGAGTCCTGTCTTCTGCGGCTGCTTCTTCAGCCAGTTTGTTGCTTTTTGCCTGTAAGTTTTCGAGTTTGCGTGACATTAGATGATCTGCGAAATCCAGATCTTCTAGAGTCTTCTTATTGGTGGTCCAGCGTATTCCTGTCTTCTCGCTCCCATGCACAGTCTGACTCATAATTGAAGAGAGTTACTACTAAGCGGAAAGTCACCTGAAGTCGGATTACAGATTATTCTTGGGCGCATAGATTAGGTTTCAGTCGTTTTATTGTGATCGCCTCAGCAAAATAAAGAATAAAACTTGGACTGTTTTTCTGTTTGTCGATTATTTTGAATGCTCGCAATGCCTTTGTTCGGTATTCAGCGCCTATCAGGTGTTTTCATCATTTACGAGTTCAAACTATTCTCTGGCTTTAGTCGAATGCCCTTTTGGTGTATGTTCAAAGAAACTGTCGTTAGAACCTTCTTCTTTGTCATCTAATTTAGTATAGTGTGGATGAATTCACTGTGATTCCCTTTTTGATTGTATCTTTTTGTACTGATATTGATTGCCTCTTTCCTAATCTTTCCTCTATTTTTTTGAACTATCTGTCTTTCTACTTCTTGGACTTTTAGGGAAATGGTGGAATACGCTTCAGTAATCCCCAGACATACGTACAGCGTATCTTTCCTCTTTTGAATACCTTACAAGAAAATTTTGGTTGTCGCTGCTATGCTACAGCTTACTTGTTTCCCTCAGAATTCACTGGATTCACCGTAAATCGATCGCATGTGGACGTGTTCATCCTACAACAAGAAGGAAAACAAAAAGTGCAAGTTTCAAGGTAATTAGATTATTACTATTATTATTACTCCAAGTTTGATCACTCATTGATTGACGTCTACGAAGACCTATAAAAAACCAGTACTGGAGTACTAAACAACTTTCGTCTTCCTAGTTTGAGACTCTTCAGCAATAAACGCCCCGACCTCCTTTTCTGATTAAAACGAGGCAAGGCCGTTGACATCAGTCCGTGCTCAAACTTGGAACAAATCAAATCTCCCTACAAACTAACTAACTGTTGAAAACTAATCTGATGATGCTCACTAGTGACTGGCTACAGGACGAAGTTGACTCTTCTTCCCATTGAGAAGTTGTGCATAGTTGGGTTCTTCCACTGTGCTATATGGCGTTATGACAGTTACACGCCTATGACATTGGCTGGTGCCGTTAGTCGCGCTAAAATCATGAATTTGTTCAAGTCGGAATTCCTAGACTGTCCACCAGATCGGTCCTGTCCTGAATGGCCTACGAGCTTAATGTGCATCTGGAAGGTTATGGGTTCTGACGCCTGTGAGAGGGGAGGCGTGCGTGCATATGAAGAATCTCTTTCCTAGGCGAAATAGCCATCCAGTACACTCGTGCTGGTTTTCAATGTTTCTCTGACTGACATCAATTCGCGATCAAGCTTTTGACAAATAAAATCCCCACAAATTAATTCTTGAGAATCGTTATTATTAATATTTTTGTCCCTTCTTTTCGCGCTGTGAGTGGAATATGAGGTTTCAGCAGGAGCACAGACTAAAAACCAACTCGTCTCCCGTTCGGGTCGCATCCGATGGCCGGAGCTTGTGTCACGTTACTCCATGGTCTTCTCAACTGGTACATCTGATCCATCTGCATATTTGATGGACAGGCAGTAGGTTCTTGGTTAACTGGTTGTCAGAATTCCTTGTTATGTATCTTTTGGTATTCGTTATGGAACGAAGACAGCTGTCGGAAATACTTTTCGTGATGTGCACATCCAGTCTGTGAACCATAAAGATGCGCTGAATAAAATGACATTAGTGTTGAAAAGCCAAACCCTGTCTCTTGCATACTGAGTGTAGTAGATTTCAGACACCGATTTCATAGTCTTGCTTTGTCGATCCTCACTGACTGACTTTGAAATCCTTATCTGTGCTGTCGTCCACAGTTAAAACGATGCTGTCAGGGCAGTTAGACAAGTCGAATAGGCGAATTCCTTTAGATTCCGCCTTCTGATAATTGTAATTGTGCTTGTTGTTGTTGTTGTTGATTGGCTGGGTGTCCTCACTGTGTCTTCTCTCTGTGCTCATGTGAATAGTTCTATCTTCTCTGTACCTACCTCTTCTGCTAAACTTGTTGTCTGGTTTTCGCCTGTAGATCTACACCGTTTGTACAACACTAGGTAGGCGTAAATCATCCACGCGAGGTTCAAATCTTCCCATATATATGGTCGGTCGAATGTGTACATCTCCTGTCTTCCCGCTACACACGACAGTCAGTAAGTATCATCCGTGATACTGTGGGAAATCTTGTATAACACTTTTGTCTTCACATCAAAGGCTCCGGTGTGATTTTCGTTGTGTATTCCTTAACGTGCAGCATCATCAGTATAGAGCTGTTAATAAATAAGGTTGTTGATAACGGTTTGTAACACTTCGTTGGACTAAAGCAATTCTCAGATTATTATTATTATATTATTATTTCCTTTAATTCCTAGAGGAACATAGGGCTTCAGCCATGCGTCTCCATTGCGTTCGGTTCTCTGCTGTAGTTTTCACCTGGCTCCAAGTCTGCCCACACGCTTTCAATTCCTCTTCACATGGTCTCCTCCAGGTCACCCTTGGACGACCAACTCGTCGCTTCCCTTTCGGGTTCCACTCGAGAAATGGCTTGTCTAGTGATGTCACTTGCTGGTTTCCTCAGAGTGTGTCCAATCCATCTCCATTTCTTCCTGCCTATTTGTTTCACGATCGGTTCCTGGTTGGTTCGCTCCCAGAGATCTTTGTTGCTGATCCTCTCCGGCCATTTGATCTTGAGTATTGAGCGAAGGCATTTGTTAATGAAGGTCTGTAGCTTGTTTGAGCTGCTCTTTGTGACACGCCAAGTCTCTGATCCGTATAGTAGTACTGACTTTACATTGGAGTTGAAAATACGGATCTTATTTTTGACGCTGAATGCTGTTGACCTCCACATAGACTTGAGAGAAATGAAAACTTGTCTTGCTTTTCCGATTCTGGCTTTGATATCCTCGTCAGTTCCTCCTGTAGTTGAGACGATGCTTCCCAGGTAGGTGAAAGAAGTTGTTTCCTTCAGGTTCCTCCCATTTATGCTGATTGTTGTCGGTTGTTGCTTTTGATGTTGGCCAGGAATCTTCATTACCTCTGTTTTGTCTATGTTCACTTGAAGTCCTATCTTTGCTGCTTCTTCTGCCAATTTGTTGCTTTTCACTTGCATATCTTCCAGTTTGTGGGAAATCAGACATATATCATCCGCGAAATCCAAATCCTCCAAGGCTTTTGTGTCGGTCCATTTTATGCCTGTTCCCTCGTTGGTTACCGTTGTCTGCCGCATTATCCAATCAACTGCAATCAGGAAGATCATTGGTGACAGTAGACAGCCTTGTCTCACTCCCGTTCTCACTTCGAAGGATTCCGTGAGCCTCCCGTTGTGGATTACTTGGCATGCAGCATTGTCGTACAGCTGTTGGATGAGATGTATAATTGTCGGCGGCACCCCGTAGTAGCGAAGTAGTTGCCAAATCACCTCTCGATCAACGCTGTCGAAGGCTTTCTCAAAATCGATGAAGTTGAGATAGAGAGGTGACTGCCATTCCAAACTTTGTTCAATGATAATCCGTAGGGTGGCGATTTGGTCAATGCATGACTTGTTCCTCCTGAATCCGGCCTGTTCCGGACGAAGTTTTTCATCTAGGGCTTGTTTAATTCTCTCCAGGATGATGCGACATAGTATTTTGCTTGGAATGGACAGAAGCATAATTCCACGCCAGTTTTTTCTCAGATTAATTCACGATTAATAATATCTGTGGTTTTTTTATATGAGGGCTGATTGGGAGGGAATGGTTTAACACACCAGCCAACAAATGGAAATACCAGCAGCAAACAATGATTTCGGAGCATATCGTCAGAAAGCAAGGCAGCAAAACCACATAGAGAATAATACACTATATTCAATCAGAGAAAGTGTTGAGTGAAGTGTGTAAGCATATTAAAAACAGGGTGTCCGGTCATTTCGAAGTCAGTTTGCGCCTATAAACGACCTGATAAGGCCGACAGTGGGTTAACTTTTATCGAATCTGTATGTATCACAGCCCTCACACAAACTATGAGGCAATTTTGTGGGTGTGGCACGTCCGGCTGCCCATAATATACCAAGTTTGTATCTTAATAATGTATAATTTAAGTTAGGTTAGGAAGGGATTAAGGTTAAGGATAGGGTTGAATTAGGACCCCAAGTTTTCTTCGTTGCTCAATCGTCTTCGGCGTAGCGTCCCAGCCTCTTGGTGTCTACACTGTTGAACTTTGCTAATTAAATATGTGTAACCTCTGTATCATCCCACTAAATTTTTGTAACTCTCAATTTTCAGGAGTACAGAAGGAGAGATGGCAGGTGAAAATAAAGGTGAGTTTGTTTTTCTGTATTTCGTGGTTCTAATTTAGACAATATTATAATGATAATTAGGTTACAAGTGGAACACAGAGCTTCAACTGTGACAAGCCTCTATTCTATCCTCTTCCCTGCAGTTCCTTATATCTAGCTGTACGATTGCATATAGGCTCCCACCTCCTCTTCATGCGGTCTCCACGTCACCCTTGGACCCACGTTCAAGTCATCTTCCCCCCTGGTGTTCCACTCAAACGGTGGCCTGGCAATGTCTGGGAATCAGATATAGTCCCGTCAGACAGACTAGTGTGGTTTGTAAGCCAGCCACTGATTATCCCAGTCAGTTTATGAGAAGGAAGACAAGTTTTCTTGTGATCAATGGATATAATACTATCCAGAGGTCCAGCTAAAATAATCATGCGTAGATTACGTGGTGCTTGGGAGAAACAGGAATGATAAAACCAGGCAGGCTTAGGCGAATATGAGAGTGTATTGATCATGTTTAGCTGTGGAGGTAGTGACGAGAAAGTGTATCTTACCCTAGTCACAAGGCTCTCCAATGGAACTCACACAGCGATGTAAGAAAAAGCTTCCGAAGAGCTTTCATCTGAAGTATGATAGTAACCAACGATGTCCACCAGGGATCTCCACTGTACCCTGTTTGCTTACTTTCATCATTAGTGGAATGGAATTGACCCTAACTGACGTAAGTAACTTGAGAGAGGGCCTTGTTACCAGGGGCAAACAGTCTTGTCGACTGTCAAATGTAAGATGATACTGCAGGATTGGAGTACAAAACTTCTAGCTTAAAGGTGGAGAGTGTGTAGTAGTTGAATCGCATCAACCGTCGAATCGCATAAATAGAGGTGAGGGTGTAAGATGAGTAGTACCACAGTACAGTTTGTAAGTGATGTTAAAATGAAATGTATGTTCCCTGAAAAATCGAACCGTTGAAAATCATTCTAATACTTACTGTTAACTGAACTGACACATGCCAGTTGGTGATCTAAACTTTGAAATTAATGGTATCTCTCTCTACTCATATTAACGGTTTTGAAATCATTTTGTTTTGACTTTTGTTTTACTTTTAGATATTTTAACCTTTGCGATGAATCCTGGTGACTTACTTTACATACCCAAAGGTTCTCAATTCAGCATGGCGCCTAATTCCTCTAAACATTCACTTCATATTTGTATTAGCCTTGATGAAAAGTATACTTGGGCTGATTATTTAACTGAAGTAAGTCAGTCTCTTGTTTTATTTACTTGTTTTGTTGGTGTGATTAGTTGTGTTGTTGTTCCCTCACCTGATTATGGTTTATATATTGCAAAGCAACTTTCATTGGTGGTTTTTCTAGACAACATCTTCACTGCTGAACTTCGAAATGTGTGTGTGTGTGTGAAGTGTGAACTCATTTGAATTCTCCACCACTGCGATAACTGTTTCTCTGTGTCTCTTACAAACGAGGCAGGTTCAAATGATTCCACGCATTTACAACGACTCTGAAGTGATTTTGTCTGCAAAGAGGGAAAATGAAAGCTGCTTCCCGTCATCCAACTTCTCGGAGAACACAATCAACCAGAGCAAAATCACCCTATTTTATCTATAAATCTTCTCTGTTACACGCTGAAGTTGTAATGTTTGTCAGCATAACACGAATGGAAATCAGTCGTGATAACGGACATTTCTCTGTTATGTGAAAATGAACATGGTGTCATTATTGGTTGATGGTGGGGGACTAGTTGTGTGGAATCCGTGACGTACATTTCATCCTGTTTGTAGTGATGTTGTCGTATAGGGTTACCAATGTAGGTGTAAGTCTTGTCGTGTCAGTAAGGTATGAGTTCCTTCGTCTTTGCTGATATATGTACAGGTGGCTTACTGACTGACAGTCGCCAATCATCATGAAGCCTACATTACAAAAGACATACTTCACGATTTCAAAACTATCTGATGTTCGTCTATTGATTGTGAATACAGGAACAGGATGAAACAAAGGATCTCCGTTTTACTTTTCGTCGATTGGTTCGTGATTTTCTTATCAACCGAATAGGCTACGACAGACTTTCATCAACAACTGTTTCCCTTGACTCGATGGTGACGATCGGATGGCTGAGTGAGAGACCAGAAAAGACTAACGACAAAGGGAACTGTAGCAGGCAAAGAATTAAACAAGAACCTATCACCAGACTTACATGCCGAATTCAAATGGTAATGGTTTGGACATATGCTGAGGAGAGTGTTGAGACGTCAAGTGGGAGGCGAATGGGGAACGACGATTAGAGCGGCCTATCGAAATGGGACATGGGAGAGATCGTTTAACGGCGGAGGAGACGAAATTTTATGGGTAGTCGTGAAGCTAGCCTGGCATCCAGTTAGAACGCAAAAGGGAGGAGAACAGAGTGAAGTGAGTGAGTATATGTTGCTAATGGCATCGTCAAGGAAGTCGTGATGCATTATCCAGTCCACTGCAATTAAAAATGTCATAGGTAATAATAGACAGCCTTGTGTAAGGCCTGTATGCACTTCAAAGTCACTTCTGATAATTCTGTTTTGGATCACCTGACACGTAATTGGCATATAGCCAGCTATTGAGTGAAGTTGGTAAAGACTTGGACACTCCTCGCCGTAGTGTTTAATAGTTTTCCAGTTACTTCTTGTTCAACGCTGTCAAAGGTCTTTTCTTAATCGTTGAAGTTTCGCTACCACTGTATGGTACTCACAATTAACCACCACCACCACCAGTTGCATTAACTTCTGTCTTCCCATGCGAACGTCTGCGTACGGGAACTTGTAAATGGGGAACCATTCTAAACCTGTTTAACTTCCAGAATCTGAAAGGATTGACTGTCGTATGAGCCTAATTTGGTCACCAGATACCATGAAAAAGGCGGCACCTGACGCTGCTCCATTGTAGTTAAGAAATCATGTCAGAGGCTTGGTGGGCAGAAGTGTCCCTTCCTGCTACATTATCGAAGTACGAATAGTTTCTCAGCCTTCTCCTAACCAATGTGACAATGATTTATAAATGACTACAACTGTACCACTAACCCATACAAGTTGAGTGGTCAGCGGTGAGTTTAAAATTCCCTACGAAATACATGTATAAACGGTCATTTACAACAAAACACACAAACAACTGCCGTAGAATTGGATCTTCATCACGAACTGACTGATATCATTTTGGAGAATAATATCAGATAGTATTAAATGATCCTGACTATCTTTTGTAACTTCATCAGCAGTACAAACCACGGATTCTCTGTCAGTACGGATCCATAACCAGAGGACTGTTGGCTTCCAGTACAGTGATGCTCGCCGCCCATTCACCAATTCTGAATTAAATGTGCACAATTTTCTGGCAATTCGACTAACTGCCCCTGTCTCGGATGTGAAGAATTTACATCAGATTTCGTCCATTAGGGTTGACGCAGTTTCCAAAATAAATCAAGTGGTGATCAACACGCTTAACCACTACTTATTCTCTATTTTTAAACTGTGGACCTGTTTAGTCCATTACTGCAGCATCAGTTTGCATTCAACAGGAACAAATCCTATGCTGTACATTTGAAGATTTCTGCTAAAAACATCTTCAGAAGACTTTCCATTTTGTCAGCGTCTTCACCCAAGGGAACAAATAACATTCGCACAATCGTGGTAGACAAGACTGTTGGCCACTGGTAACAAGTCAATCCGAGGTTGTCACAAGGCAGTCAGTTATACCGTTGGTAGAGGATTTCAGTAAGCTCATTGACTCCTTACTTAAAGATGGAGAGCGAAGTAGTATAGCTTGTTGACCACTTCACTTTTTGGGAAGTCGCATCAGCCTCATCAGTGGATTGATTACTAACTCGTTTGGCATATTCCCGCCAACTTACGCCATCTCTGGTGTAGACATGATATCCAGTTTTGATCACAGGTGTATGCGTTCTCTCTTCCGTAAGTTAGGTGGTATTATATGGTGAGCAATACTGAAGGTAGGCATCGAATGCTATGTACGGATGGATGGTAAGTCAATCAATAAGGTCGTGAAGCTACATCGATTGAAATTGCTTGGACACGTGTGCCCTATACCAGGTCATCGTCATTCTTGATGGGCAAGGTTAGTTGAATAAGAGCCATTGGTGGTCAGACTAAAACATTGCATCAGTCGATATAATCCATAACAGTTTAAGCCATGTAGAAAAGTGTAGGCTGATTGGTTGGTCGGCGTCCTCAGGATGGTAAAAGACAATGTCGGGAGACATTTGGTGATATGGCTCAAAATGATCGTTCTCAGTTGCTCAGATGTACATACTCTGTGTGATCTGCTACATCCAATGAAACCCTATTGTTTATCCGTGATACCATTCTTCCCTCCTCACATTTATGCTTATTACCGTTATTGAGTGAGTTGAATCGAGGACAGGATGTAAGTAGTATGCAACTATTGATTTCAAGCGATCCATCAGTAATACATAAATAGTCTACTCTTGACTTAAATAAACTTTTTACTTTTCTATTCGTTTCTCTCTGTGTTGTTATAGTTATTCCCAATTATAATAAAATCTGCTGCGGAAAATGATGCCGACTTTAATCAGTCACTTCCAATAAAGTGTTTCAAAGATATTGGTTCACTTTACACTATGTCAGATGGCAATAGAGAGGTGGGTGGTTTTATTGATTTATCATAAGCTTACCTTCCGACTGGGGGTGGGTGGGGTAGGTAGCGATATCAAGCTTTCAGCTTTGAAGTTTCAGCAATGGAGGTCGATATTGTGCCTTTTCACATCGTGGTGGGTTTCTTAGCTAGTCTCTGACATACCGGCTAAGTTGTAATGAGGTTGTTTGGGACTGAATCGGTGCGTTGGCCGCCAGAAATATGAGCCTCAGATTATGTGCGTGTTCCGTTGTTGCCGAGCATTCAATCACTGAGCTACGGACGAACGAACACACAAGGATCGGACTGTAGGACTTTCAGGTTACAAATCTAGACCGTTGACCACTGGGACTTTTGACCAGTACTCTTAATTGTGGCCACATTGCCAGCCAGACTTAACAATCAAACTTCCTGAAATATAGATATGTTTGTGTTACCATGGTGTTGCTGCAGAACATAAACAAGTGATCTCTCATCTATGGACTCTGAAGGGCACAGAGCACATAACATGTTCAACTTCTAAATTTTATAATCACCTCGGACTTTTAAAACTGGCGGCACTCCATCGGTGTGAAATGTATGTGCACTGACTGTGAATTTGTAGAATATTGCCATTGACTTGTCTTGATAAGAAAATAGGGATCATGGTGATAATGAATTTGTAACACCTCCGGTCGCCACCCCACGCTAATTATAGAAGTGTTGGAATTCATCACTTCGACATTCGGAAATAAGTTCGTTAGAATAGCTGATTACTTGTCAACTTGTGATAGCACGTGGTGAATATAATCAGACTCATCGTCAATTGTTGGTTTGCAGGGATTCGATTGGTTATAGATTTGACCGCAAGTCGACATCAATTAGACAAGCATTAGAAATCAACAGGGAGTACCGATTTTCCAACACTTGAAAATCAGTCTGATGGTCACTAAAGACTGGCTCCACATAGAAGGTTACCTGGATCTGCAGTAAAAAGTTGTGACCAGGAGGGTCCACTATGTCGGGCAAGAAGACGGTTACTCGCCTATGTGATAATGCCTGGCGGCTGCACTGTATAAAACTATCGCGACTTGGTAGAGGCTAGAATTCATAAGCCATCCAGTCAGGTTCCAGTGGCTGAATCGTCCATGAAAGCGCCTTGTAACCGTAAGGTCCTGCGTGTGACTGATGAGTCGCAGATTGGGACGAAGTAACTGTCCAGTATTCCTGTACTGGTTTTTCAATGGTTGTCTGAAATCTGCTCGTCATCCAACCTGTAATATATTCTTGGTTTGTTCATAGTTAGAATTCATTATTGTGCTTATTATATCCTTTCCTACGGGCAATCTGATCTACCTTATCTAGTGAGCGAAGTTCGTGGATGATCAAAAGTTGACAGTAGCCTGATGGCAGTGCTTTTCGTGAAACATCTACTTCAATTTTTTAATGAGACATTCACATCGAGTGACTTGACATTCGTGTTAGAAATTCAGGTCTTTGCTCTGTTGATAAGTGAGTGCTGTTGGATATTATGCGACACCGATTATTTCAGAGTAATAATGAGAATCTTTGTCTTGTTTTCCTTTCCCTGATGCATGACTTTGATGTCGTCGCCTCCGTCTATAAGTTTGAAACGATGCTACCCCCAGGTTTGATAAATGAAAGAGGCGACGACTTCTTTAACATTACTCCTGTACTTGGTCAGGTATCTTCGCTACCTCTTCTGTCAACTTGGCGATTATCCCACATATATTTATTTACAAGCTTTTGTGAGATTTCATATTGCTGGTAACACGGAATTTTTTTGAATCTTTTCATTTCTTTTTCTTTGGTGAAAAATTTCTAGATGGTTGAACGTGAACAGGAATTTCGTCAGCGAACCGTTGAGCTATTGAAACGCTTAGTGAATAAAATTGAATGTCGGGAAATATTGACAGTCAGCACGTCTGAAAACAGGGAGTTTGGCAATAAGAATAACAACAGTCAATCACGACAACAAAACTTTCAATTGAAAACCACCTCCTTGCCTAACTGTGGTGATTGACTATTTTTATCTTTGTATTGTTTAAATACTTACTGTTGTTTGTTAATATATTTATTATTTTGATTTGAAAATATAATTCCGCCAAATACAAATTCCTAAATTCATCCTTCTCAGTGTTTTGGTTGGGTTCCTGTAATTCGGTCATTGCGAAATACAATACTACTAGTACAAATAACAATCACATTTTGGCGTCGCAATGGAATTAAATAATCTTGGAAAGTTTCCTATAAATGTTTCACCGCGGTCGGTCGATACAGATGACGAAGTCAGCGTCCTTCCTGCTAAAGGGGCAAATCGAAATCAGTAACCTACCTTCAAATACAGGCTACGAATGGAAAACCTACTGCTACCATTGGTAGGAAGTACGTCTATCTGAAGGTAAGTTTACGCAAACCTATTCAGTGGATATTCCTTATAATGACGGTACTATGTGGAGTAAGTAACAATATGATTGCACACCTTTTGTTAGACGTTGAAGTTAGAGACATTGTACGTGACTTTTGTTTGAAACGATTCATGATGGAATATAGATAACTTCTGAGTACAATCTTAAATGATAGAGAAGATTTGTAGCTCAGGTGGATAATTTTGATGTGGTTGTGTTCTCTGAGCTGGATATCCAGCTCAGAGAACACAACCACATCAAAACAATCTAAAATACTGTGTACTGTTGGGCGCTTTGCCTTATCACTGGTCTATTCTGTCTACTTGCTTCACACATAACCGTGTTGAATACTTTGGATCATCTCTGGAACCTCTTATCCTCATCCGAGGACTATTCTACAACTGGTACGCAGCTTCTGCTAGTAGACACGACTCCAGCAGTGAACGCTTCTGTGGACTATATTAATAATTTGTAGCCACGGACTTTAACTGTATATCCATGTAACCGTTTAATTCATATAACTCATTATTGTATTTTTTATAACATACTTTTACACTATCATCTCATTGACTTGGATTTTTATTCGCATCCTTGTTATGTTATTGAGCTAGCTAGACAGTCCCCTACAAGTATGCCTACCATTGGCTCAGACCCGCCCAACCATCGTGATCTACTCGTAGATGTCCGCCGAAAACGACTGATAGACGGTACTACCAGATTGTTTATCAAAGGCATCATCTACGTGGGTCATAGCTTGTCACTGGTTAAGAAGAAGGCGATCTTTGATTCAACTTTTCAGCCGATTGTCTGCGAGTACTTGGAAACTAACTGCCTGTCTAACGATCTACCGAGCATAATCAGCAATGTTGTGCACCACATCACAACCTCAGGACAACTCATGACATCTAAAGTCCGACGACTTCCTCCTGACAAACTCAGACTTGCTGGGAAGGAATTCCACCATATGCTCACCCTTGGCATCACCTGGCCATCAAATAGCCCATGGGCATCCCCACTTCATATGGCACCGAAAAAGATAGCAACGACTGGCTGCCCAGAGGTGGTTCCCGGCGAGTGAACGCCAAAACAATCTCTGATTGCTATCCATTGCCTCACGAATATGACTTGACGGCAACATTATCCGGCGCAACTATATTCTCCAAAATAGACTTGGATTTTTTGTAGGCCGTACATAAATGGCAAGCGTCCACCTTTTGATTTCAGTTCACTGTATTGTCGTACTTTATTAGTTTCTTCCTTAGAAGTTCTTTGAGACAATAATTCACTTTATCTTCAAATGAAATTGTGTCACCCTTTTATTGTCTACTTGGAATTTTTCTGTGTAGTTTAGAATTGTCACCGTTTTATGTATATAATCGGCTTTGTTCATTATAACAACCCCATTGCCTTTATCAGGTCTAAATATGACGATATCATCGTAATCGTCTAGTTTCTTAAGAGATATTCTGTGCTCTTCGGTCATTATCTTCTGCTTCTCCATTGGTGATATCTGGTGTTGGCTAGCTATATCAACTACTTTAGCCATCCTCTTTTATCTTCGTCTGAGGGTGTCAGGACGTAGAGTCGATGGTATAAGTGCTTGAATTATGCTTCTGTGTCTATACGATTGATGTGCTTCATGTGGACCTCAAAATTGAATCTCAGAGATAAGGCTTTTAATTCAATTTCGCTTAATTGCAATTTTGCTAGATTAGCTTTCAAGTGCTTCTGGGGATTCTTCAACTAGATTTTCCGCGGATTGAGATGAAGAATTTTCTTCTATGTGTACGTGTCAATCAGGGGTTTCCGTATCTGTAAATATGGAAGAATACTTTTTTTACCGGGAGGCTTCTTTTGATTTTGCAAATATAACTTTGAATGAATTCTAGTTGCATGTCGACTGACCAGTGTTGAATATATGTGAGGTTCGGTTACAGAACTCTTTATTGATGTATTTATGCGTTTCCATAGCCATCAAGAGATAATGTTCTTCGCTAGATGAAAAACGGATTGAACGACCTACGTATCTCTCTCAACAGTTGTTTTACTATAGGTATTTCTTTGATATATGTTGAAAATAAAGTAGTATTATAATTTGCAGTTAGTAGTTGCAAATCATCCACCTGAGCTACACATATTCTCTATTACTTTAAGTATGATAATTTACTGACTATTTATATCTAAAACTAGAAGAGAGATTCAGAAAGTCATCTTTTGTGAGTTTATATAAAGATTTACATAAATCCGGGGGAACTGTTTTCTCCTGTACATACTGCTGATAAGTCCCACGAAACAAAATCAAACCGTCCCCAGACAAACTAACTCTTGAAAATTCATCTTCTCCATCGTATCTAGGAGATATTTTCTCTGCAACTGAAAGATAGATCAGTAATCAAATAAACCAATTTACATGTCTGACATACCGATTCTCCATCTTGTTTCTAATGGTTCTCATCCTGTGCTAGTTCTAAGAATTTGTCAATAATAAGATATTTGAACATTTGTTTTGGCTGTCTTACCCCATAAAAGAAACTAAAATAATACCAGAGTTTACTGAAAATATCTGTCTAGAAAGGAGGAGAGGAGAATTTCATAAGTATTTTTTGCTTGGGCTTATTTAAAGGTTTATAAAAACTACCATTAACTTTTTTCCAGTAGTGAATCACCTGAAAAAATGTATGAAATAAACATTTTCATGTGAAACTTGAATTTTCCATTGAGAGTAGTCGTTACAAGAATGAAAAAACTACTCAGTGAGTGAACTATTCTCAAGTTTAGACACAATTTTCAAAATAGTGAGGGCGGGGGAGGAGGAAAAGAAATCGATTCTGTACTATGGTGTTTCAGATAGTCTTATGGCTTCCTGGGATTTCTAAATGAAATGAACACTAAATGATGATACTACCCATATCAGGATTATCTGTTGAGACAGTTATGCAACTGAAGCGGAAGAGCTTACTATTAGTATTATCCCCTAGGGTTCGGAGTGGGACAGAGTGCATCAGCAGTATATCAAATTTTGTCCTATTCTCTGCACTCGTCTTTCATTAGCTCCACGACTGCCCATAGGCTCTCATCTCGTCATTCTCACACGATCTGCTGCATGCCACCCCAGACTTATCATTTCGAATTCAAGCTCTACTTTAGTTACTGCCTGGCGTGTAATGTTGCTCAACGGTTTCCTTAGCGTGCGGCGAATCCGTCTCAATTTCCTTAGGCAAATTTATTGGGCGATAGGTTCTTGTTTGGTGCCTCCACAGAGGTCCCTGTCACTTATCCTCTCCAGCCCTCTCGTCAAGTCAGCGAAGTTAGCTGTTGATAAAAGTCTTCAGTTGTCGACTGGGAATGCTTTAAGCGACGCACCAAGTCTCTGAGCCGTATAGAGGTACTGACTGAATTGGTATTCGTATAAGAAATTCGAATTTTGTTCCTTGTGCTGGGTGCAGCAGCAGATCTCCACACTGGTTTCACAGAACTAATTGTTTGTCTTGCTTGTTTTTTATCCTGGCCTCGATATCCTCATCTTTGCCAGAGCCTGTAGTTGAAAAGACGCTGCCTAGATGACTTTTCTCAAATTTCAGCCTTTCATGGTGATTGATGCACAATGTTGTTGTTGGTTATTGCCTGTGAATCTTCGTGTTTTTGTGACACTAGGCATAAATCACCTACAAAGTACAAATCTACTACAGATGTCTTATCAGTCCAAAGAATACCTGTCTTCTCACTGATAACTACTTCTTTCTAAACACATGAGTAGGATAGTTTCAAGTATATGATCACAGTTTTCTTTTAGAAATTCTCAAAAACAACTTGAAGAAAATAAACTCGTTTCTCCGTAGAGTACTGCTTTCGTTGATGCGGCTGTCGCTGCGGCCAAATAGTGTTGTGCCGTGTTAAACGCCAGCACCGGATAATTCATCACTATTGTGTTTCGATGCATTTTCTCTCAGAGTGAGGGATGACTTATGCATCTCTCCCTCAGTGATAATAAAGCCTAATTTGTGAAGTTTATTGGCCAAAAACAACTGAAACAAATAAAAAAACGATGGAGTAGACGAGAGTTAGTCACATACATTAAGGCCGACAAAAAAAATAATGTATGAATGCACATTTACAATTTCCCTTGAGTTCCGAGTGAGAACACAGGCCTTTTAGCTGAGGGTCACTCTTCCCTATCATCTTGTTCTTTGCTGTCTTTTCTACCTGAATTCAGGATTGCTAGTAAACTTCCACCTACTATTCCGCAAACCAACTCCATGTCATCGCTCAACTCGTCATTTTCTATTTAGGTTTCCCCTGGGGCGGTGGCTTGTTTGGTGTGTGATGTCAATCTATTGTCTCTCCAACATGTGTCCGATTCATCTCAATATCATTCAGCGCATTTCTTAGTTAGGCGATTAGTTCTTGGTGGCATCGTTGCAGTGCCACAGCTCCTTGTTGCTCATTCAGTATGGAAAGTCTCTTCTGCAGTAGCCTCTTAGAAAGGTCCGGTCTTTAAAGGGCATATATATACACATATAAGCACTGTCTGATTTGATATTATGGTGAGTGAATGCTGTAAATTTCTTCACGGACTTCAGAATAATGAATGGATGGTCTTCCTTCATGACCCTCACTGGTTTTGACATTGTCATTAGTTCCGCCTGTAGCTGAACGCACGCTGCCTAAGTAAGCGAAGGAGGTGACCTCGTTTCGACGGACCTCTTTCATAAGTGATAGTGACTAAGCTCTGTTATCCGCGTTGGTCGTTGGGTACTTTCATCAACTCTATATCCACTTCGAGTGTCATCT